TAGCGCATCTTTTTTTTTGGGGGGAGGGGGGTAGTAGCATGAACTAGATTGATGATTTCCGATGGAAGGTGATCCTTGAGAATCCTTTAGTTTCATTGTGAATGATTTTTTTTTTTTTTTGGAACTTGAGAGATAAATATAATTTGGTTCGAGTATTGAATTGGAGATTTATTGATTAAATTGGAGAGATGAACTTAAAGACCATTACATTACCACTAGAGGCTAGAAATTAAATTTTCTATTACTAACATGAATATTATATCGGTACATGGTAATTCATCAACAATCATCCAAGAGATAAAAGGGCGCTGACAGACCTTGCCGGTGCATTAGACGGTCTTGCCTTTTGTGGTCCAAACAAACTTGTTTGCTTTTGATACTAAGAGCTGGAACCTGGACACACAGCCCACTCTTGTTCCATTTCAGATTGAACCTTCTATAGATGTCAGAAGAGTAGGCCTACTCAATGGATCAAGCCCAATTACTCAATAAAAATTTGCAATTTTTGCATGGTGCAGACCCTAGCCCCAATTCCCAACACAAAATTTAGAAAACAAAAAAGAAAAGAAAAGAAAAAAAAAAAAGGTTAGATACCATCGGTGTCGATTCTAAAAATTAATTAAAATTTTAAATTATATTTAAAAATTAAAATCTCACTTTATTAAATATTAATAACTAAATTTAAAAACTTTTATTATATATTGATAAGATAATTTTTTTAATTTAAATTGAATTTTAATTAAATAAAATATAATATTTTAATTATTTTTATGAGTTTGAACTGATTTGCACTTTTCTAAAAAAAAATATTTGTATTTTCTAACAAATTTTTTATCTATTGCAAAGAAAAACAAACAAAATGCTCGTATACAATTATTGAATATACTTGAGCAAATTCTTTCATCTGCTCAAGAAACAAATCCAAATCTGATCCCCTAAGCATTAACCTCTTGGATGGGAAAATCCCTCTTCTCTATATCTGTTCAACATTTCGGAAGATCACTCGGAGGCGGTAGAATTGACTCATTCGGACCTTTACCATTATCCACCAAGAATGCCATCTTAAGTCCCCATGTTGTGTGCACTTCCAAATGACAGTGCATGAACCAAACCCCTGCAAATTTGCACAAATAATTCAGATTCAGATTCAATTCTCCCTAAAAAAAACCGTTGAGTGGTATTTACCCCACATCGACTACGTCTGTGATTTTCTGTGGTCTAATAATCCAGTTGGACCTATATATTTAAAAAAAAAAAAAATGCAATCTGAAATGGATCGGATTGTAAAATATAGACATTTAGATTACAGTCCGGTCTATTATTTCCTACTAGTCCAAATTATACATACCTGGGTTATCTGCTCGGAATCTGATAGCCACCCACCCACCAGATGGCACCCCAATTGTGTTCCTCTCCACCGGGTCAACCAGATTAAAATTCTTAGGATCTTTCTGCGGACTGTAATTTCCCAATCCCCTGCCAACAGCAAAGAAATTGAATCCATGGAGATGGAGGGGGTGATTTTCCTGTGATATGATTCCGGTGTCTTGTAAAACTAGCTGGACAGTGGAGTTGTACGCCAGCTTGTAAACCTTAGTCCCATTGGTGGTCTGCAAACTTGACGGCGGAGCTCCTGTGTAGTTAAACACATGAGGCGGTTGCCCCGGAAAATCGGTAGTGAAAACGCCACCGATTTTGAAGTAATGTGCTTGAAGCAGGGCCGTGGTAGGCATGACAAAGGTGACATTGTTGACTGAAGCTACCACCCGGCTGCCGTTCCCTGCTTTGCAAGTCGGACAGGGGTTAACCCCTAAACCGACCGTGAAAAGAAGGTTGTGATCGACGGTTTGTGGGACGATGGCAGGGTACTTTTTGGAGTTGAGGCTACGGAGGGAGTTTAAGAAATTGTTAGCAACAGGGGTGGCGTTTTTGGGAGGTGGGATGGTGAGAGTTGTCGGAGCAATAGCGAGCGTGCCGGAATAGTGCAAAGTTGCGGTCGCTGTCAAATTGTCAACTGCAATTGGAGAATCCATGAAAGGGGAGGCAGCGACCAAGTACTTACCGGAGTTTTGATCTGCGGTGACAAGGACATTGGTGGTTTGCCCTGGGGCAACAAGAATTGTGTCCGTTTTGAAGGGTTTCACATATGTGGCGTCGACTTCAACGACGGTTAGCTTGTGTCCGGCGATCTTGAAGAAGAGTTCTTCATTAAGTGCAGCATTAATTACCCGTAACAAGTAGGTCTTACCGCTTTGAACCGGTAAGTTGAAGCCACCTGCAAACAATTGAAAACAATTTGATTAATCAATCTAAACAAAATTTCATCTTTTTCCTTCCAAGGAGACTTACATACCTTGAGAAGAACAGTTGGAGACGGGTCCAGGGTGACCGTTGATTGTGTGGGCATCGGACACATTCGGGGCCAACCCGGAGTTGAGAGCTTCGTTTATCACGGCTTCGGTGTCCGATTTCCACCATTCACCTAAAACGACAACCACTTCCCTGTTGGGTTTCGGGAATGGATACGGCACGCCGTGCTTGGGCAGGATAACGAGGGCGCCATGGACGGTGGATCTTAGCCAGAGAATATGTGCGTGCCAGAGCAGAGTCCCCCGTTGCCCTGTAATGGTGAAGTTGTACAAGTAGCTTTGCCCTGGCTGAATCGGGCATTGCGTAATGTACGCCGGCCCGTCTGCCCATCCAGTCCGAAGTTGCCGGATTCCATGCCTGCCCAAAACCCAAAATCTTCTTGTATCATGTTAAATGTGAGAATCATAAGATGAAACAGAGGCTGTTGGTTTCTAACCAATGAATAGAAACATTGTGTTTGACTTGGTTGACTACTTTGACCAGCACATTATCGCCTTCCCTAGCATGCAAAGTGGGACCCGGGAACTTGCCGTTGACCGTCACAATGGGCTTGGTTGAACATAGTCTAGTGGTATTTCTCATCACCACCTGCACGTTATCGTAACTAAAATTGGTTAGTGATGAAGAAAAAGACGAAATTTATCTTTAAAATTTTCATTCTAGAGTCAAGATTTCGATTCAAAAGTCTATTATACAAGGGGAATGTTAGTACTTAGGTTCGAACCGGGACTATATTCTCAAAGGGAGTAGTTATAAGGCCACTAGGTGCTTGACCTTTGATACCCAAATATACGTATTTTTACGTATCCAAAATTATAATCACAAACTTTTTAAATGATTTTATGATCGTAAATTAAAAAATTATACATTTACGTATGTACATGTATGATGTATGTGTATATATTATCATGAATGTATTAAACATTAATATCTACATACCTTAAGATGTATCGCATGTGTAAAAAAAAAAAAAAAAATGCTACCATTTGTTTGTTTCTTGTCCTTCAAAGTTGCGGTTGAGTTTTCATGTACCCGATGGGCTAAAGCCATTTCTGCAAGCAGTATGATTTTCAAAACTGGGATGAGGATGATATTTCTACTTACATTAAATGTGTAATGCCGAACAGTGCATTCCACCACGACCGGAAAGAGGCATACTAGGAGAAGTAGAAAACGAACCCAGGCGTTCATCTCTCTCTTTCTGTCCTTTGCTATTTGCTTGCTCTGTTCGTTGATGTTGCGACCTCGGTTGCAGTCAGGTATATATATGACTCGCCAACGCAGCCTTATAACGGGTGATAAGGCGATTGCTGCCATGTCGTTTTTCCTTGGTTAGGTAGAGGGATGTATTCTTCAAAAAGAAGGGTTTTTAAGGGAAAATACCAGGGTTTCCTCTACGTTTCTTGCTTGTCACATAAAGTAGTCAGTCCTATTGGGACCTTAGATTTGGATGTTAAGTTATTAAGCTTCTCAATGCAATTTAATTTCCAATTTATTGTAACATTAATAGGTATTTATTATTTTTTTCATACATTTGATGATAAATTATACAATAATGATAATAATTCTTTCCCTAGTCTACTGTCCACCCATTTGGTTCTTAATATATGGTCAAAACCAATGATTAAACTTTTATTTCCATTTTCCACCCCAGTATTGGATATCTATCAGGCTGGAAAACATTCTCTGCTAATTTGTCCCACTTTGACAATTGTATATAGTTGAAAATTTTAAATAACTTTTACTAGTGAAAGTATAGAAGTTTGTTTGAATCGTTATTATATAATTTACATAAAGTAGTTGGTGATGAATACATACACATTTATAAAAGTAGATTGAATAAGATCAGTAATGAAGGGGTAGCTGAATATCATCATATCTGCATGACATTACATACATGCTTATAAACAAAGATACATAGTTAATGGTTGAGAAATGGCTTTCATGTCTCAGTGCATCAAATTGGCAAGCGAACTTGGCCGAATCATGTCATATTTGAAAGCTAATTAAAATGGAACTAACGGTGGGTAAGTAACAACTACCAAGACCATCAAAATCCATTTTTTTTTCATCCCTCCCTTACAATCTCTCCACAAACAATGAGGAAAGAATAGTTGTTGAAAAGGGTCATTGTTGCTTTCAAGATAACAGGATAACAAAAGCAAAAGGATTAGTTACCGAATTATTGAACTTGTTTAGAAAACGATTCCACCACTTGACATTTAGTTAATTTTCAATGTTGCTACTTCAAGATCTAGTTAATGATAACAGAGACTGACAACCTGTTTCCTTTAAGTTTTGTGGAGTGGACCGGCTTGACCAGACGGTAGATTTTGTTTCACTTTCATCGGTTTCCAACTGATAAAGAAGTCATGAGCAAATTGATGAGCTGACGTTGGATTTTAAACTTGTGATGAAAGAAAATTAATGTCAATTCTCTGTGCTTTCCTTTTCATGTTGAGGTGGTGAGGGGGTATTTGGCATTGACGGAGTGAACCTTGAGAAGTGCAATTGCAGCAATCCTACTAACGGCTTCTTCTCTGTCATTTTCTTTTCTTGAAATACAGGTTTAGAATAGGCCTGCCCTACTGGTCCAGAGTAATATAATTCCAAAGCCTTTATACATGGGCTTCCATCTATCATCCTTGCAAAACTGGTCCCGTAAGCATTTGGCAGTATCAAGAGGTCCAAGACCCAGCCTGACAGACCCTTGTCCTCTACACAACACCGCAAGGCAACTGGCACTAGTCATGCCACTGTAAATCCAGCCTCAAAGTCATGTAAATGGTGAAGCAACAAAGCATTTAAGATCCTTTGTAGAAGTACCAACTCCATCTACGAAGGTGTGCCACAAGCAGAGACGCTAGAGGAAGAGGGTTGAATGCCTGCCGTGCATATGAAAATCAGAGAAATGGGGCATCGTTTCTGAACTTGAATTCAATAGTATTTATGATTTTTTCTCCACAAATCTAGTATCTGCAGTCTCACCATGATACTATGCATTTAAGTGTCTTTGCTCGATTTGTGTGCCCAACAATGTTTCATACAATAAAATGCACTCCAGCATTAAACTGAAAAAGCTCAGAGTACAACATTTAGAGTTCAACTTTTTGGAGACATGATATGTATATAAACATGGTGTAGCCAGAAGACTCACTTCGGCTCAAGGCACCAAAGTGGAGAGCTTCCTTAGTGTAGAGGAACAGACAATGGCCGAAGAAGATATCTATACTAATGATGGAACAACTGATTTCCGAAACAAACCTACCGTTCTAACAGAAACAGGAACATGGAAAGCCTGTCCTTACATCCTACGTATTCCTCAGTCATCAACTGATGCTAGCTTGTTGTGCAATTTTTTTAATTAAAAAGTATTTTTAACTAATCTATATATATATATGCATACTCTTAGGAAATGAAAGCTGCGAGAGACTGGCATAAACACCAACTTAGTTAATTATCTCAAATTCCAGCTAAATCAGCGCAATGTAGTAGCAGTAAACAATGTCACAAATTGGTCCGGACCAAGCTATGTCATGCCAGTAATATTGGAGCCTTTTTAGCTGATGCCTACTTGGGGAGATAGTGGACCATAGCCAGTTTCTCAATCATTTATGTCATTGTAAGTTCATCTCCATATTCAAATACTGTACTACCTGAATCCAGGTACTTAATTTCGAGGTTTTGGATTTCTTTCAGGGCATGATAGTATTAACAATGTCAGCATCTGTTCATGGACTAAAAGCGAGTTGCGAGGAGAAGAATGTTTGCCATCCAACAGGATTGCAAACTGGGGTATTCTTTGTAGGACTATACTTGACAGTGCTGGGAACTGGAAGGATTAAAGCCCTATGTTGTGTCTCGTCCTTTGGCCTCTATTTTTCCATTAACATAGGTGCCCTTGTTGCGGCTTCTGTGCTTGTCTGGGTGCAAACAAATGTGGCTTGGGGTTGGGGGTTCGGCATCCCCACCGTGACAATGGCCATTGCCATCTTGAGTTTCTTTTCAGGTACACGGCTGGACAGAAATCAGAGGCCTGGGGCTAGTCCCCTAACTCGTTTCTGTCAGGTGCTAGTTGCTTCGTTTAGGAAACACAAGTTCAAAGTACCGACCGATTAGTCTCTTCTATATGAGACGGCCGACCAGGAAACCGCCGTCAAAGGTAGCCGGGAGCTTGATCACACAGAGCAACTAAGGTAAAGAAAATTTCAAATTTTCATTTCGATTCTAGAATCGGAGATTCAGAATTGGGTATCTACTAATGATCTTTGAATCAATTGTCTCAGTATCTTAGACAAGGCGGCGGTGGAGACTCAATCCGATCGAATCAAAGGGTCGATAAATCCAGGGCGGCTCTGCACGGTGACCCAAGTAGAGGAGCTGAAGAGCATTACAAGACTGCTCCCGATTTGGGCCACCGGTATAATCTTCTCCGCCGTATGCTGTCCTGGGTACCTTAAAATGTATATTGAATAAGAGACATACTAATATTTCTCCTTTTTAAAAGGTTAGGCTGAAAAACTAAAATCATAATTAGCTAATAAAGAAAGAAAATTACCACAAAGAATTTGATAGTACTTTGCAAAGACCTTTTTTACGCCATACTAAAATATAATTTTTTTATTTTTTTATTAATTTCTACTAATTTTAATAAATATTTTACATATTTCTTTTATAATAAAAAGAAAAAACCTACAACTAATAGTACAGCACAATACTAATAAACAATGCCTCCCACAATTGCTACGCGCAATATAGCATGGTAATATTACATTTACTTTCACAGTTATTTACCAAGATATTTTTTACCTCGCATTATATTTAAAAATGTAAATTTATTTTTATAAATTAATTTTTTTTATATATTTTTATTATATAAAAAAATAAAAGTTAGTATATCACATTTAATGTTGTGACATATTATACAATTATTTATATATTTTTAATGAATCTTTCTTATATTTTAATTTATTAAGAGTATTTAAATAATTTTATAAAAAAATTTAATATTTTAATTGTTAAGATATTTTAATTTT